GCCATACGTACCTATCTCCTCGTTCCGCAATGCGGGAAGGTCATCCCGGCCGGGTCAATGCGCACGTCGGCATTCACGTACCGGTAATCCGGGTGAGTCTCGCCCGGTCTATCGTACTTGTAGTATCGTGATAGCGCGTCTGCGACGAGGTTATACTCGCCTTTGACATATGTAATGGAGTGATCGAATCTACTAATGTATTCGGCCCAACGCCGCTGGCGGTAAGACATATCTTTTTGTGACTTGAAGAACTCGAGAGTCCTATGGTCAGTAACTATATTAATTTTTCGGCCCATAAGCTTGTCCTCCCACTTCAGGAGGGCTTCTAATATGGCTAGCGTCTCATGTTCATACGTAGCATAGCCTCGTTGTGCATTTGTGAACTTCCTAGACATGAATCCGGCCGGCCGGCACACTCGCCAGTCTCGGCCCTGACCGTAATAAGCCCCAACTCCGGTCTTCGAAGCGTCACATACGACCCAGATCGGATCGGGATCACCGAAGTTAACTGGTTTCAGAATGGGCGCTCGACACGCCAAGTCCTTGATTGTGCGGAAGCATTTCTCGTGTATGGGCCGCCAATGGAATGGTGTCCCTTCACTGCATATGTCTGAAAGTGGGGCCATGTAGGTGGCCACATTCGGCATGAACTGAGCTAAGTATTGTACGAGCCCGAGGAATCGGGCTACTTCTGTGTAGTAGCTTCGTGGCGTTCTCCACTCGCGGATCTGTTCCAGTTTGTCGGATTCCGCGTGTATTCCTTGAGCGTCTATGATGTGTCCGAGACATTCCATTCGGTCTGAATATAGGTCGACTTTTTTCTTTGATAGGTACAGCTGCGCCTTGCGGAGGGCGGCAAATACTAATTCGAGATGTCTCTCATGCTCCTCTATTGTGTTGGAGAATATGAAAATGTCATCTAGATAAACGTGTACGAATACACCAATGTAATCTCTAAAATTATGCGTCATAAGCCTCTGGAATGTAGACGGGGCGTTACAGTCCCCTTGCTGCATCACGTGGGATATCATGGTTCCCATAATCGTCGAAAACGCGGTTTTCGGCTCGTCGCCCTTCTCGATACGGACTTGTTCATACGCGTCGCTCATATCTAACTTAGATCTGTATCGGGCTCTAGCGACGTCATTCCTAATGCGGTCCTGGTCTGGCATCGGAGTTATGTCATGAACGGTATTATCGTTCCGTTCGCGCAGGTCGAACACGGTGCGTAATTTCCCATCCTTTTTGGGAATACACAGCATCGGCAATGCGTTCTCGACAGGCTTCCATTCCCACCATCCGGCAGTCGTGTATTTTTGTATCTTATCCTGTAATAGACGTTGGTACGCCTCTGCGCAACGCGGACGGTGTCCCTTGTACCTCTTATTAGGGTCTATTAGCGGTATGCTATGATTTACTTCCCTATACGGAGGTTTCCTAAGGGGAATGTCCCCTGTAATGTCCTGAATGTGCTGGACCCACTGCTCTCGGAGACGTGGGATTGCATCGTCCAGTATTGCTTCTTGGGCGCGTGATGGCAACCCTTCTCTTGATTCCTGAGCGCTCGCTTCTCTGGGAGGTCCCGGGAACGGTATTTGCTTGCCCCACGGCGTCTTCCGTTGTGCATCTTCAGCAGCGCGGTGCTGCTCGTAAGCTGTCTCAAATTCTCGCTCGAATTTGATGTCTTTGATCTCTTCGTATTCAACTATCCCGCTCGCAAGGCGGCTTACAGTGGGTACATTATTCTCTGCTATATCGGGTAGCTTCGTATCTAGCGCGTGGGAGCGGACCGCTACCTTGGGCCGTGGGCGCTGTCCTTCACGTGTAACTTTACTTCCGAAAGGAAGCGCGAGGCTTGGCGGGGTTGGGCCGAGCCCATTTGTCATTCCCACCGATCCGTCCCCCTTCAAGCTCCGCGGGGATGTCTAGGCCATCCGGAAGCCTGATGGTCCGCTTGTCGGGCATTATGGTGATTCCGTGTTTAGCACAGAACGGCAAGCCGACAACGGCATCATAGTGTGCTATGTTGGCTACGTCGAAGTACCACCTCGTATTGATAGTCCCTAGGGCGGTCCTACAATGACCGCCGTGCGTAATCTTAGACTTGCTGCCTTTACAGCCCAGCTTAAGCGTAACGGGGTTCTCGAGCTCGAAGACGTCAAGATTGCATATCTGTGCAAATTCGGTACTGACGGCATCCGTATTGGATCCGAGGTCGAATAGTGTCCAGGCCTTTACGCCGTTAATTTGGACATAAGCGGCGAGTAGCTCTGTCCATTCCCTTGGGTACCTCGGCCTGTGTGCACCGTCTTCCCTGTGTAACGCAGATCTGATGGCTTCGCGAGCTTCGGGCGGCGGGACCGGGCGCTTCCCCTTTGGGAACGGTAGCGCTTGACGCTCTGGTGAGTTAGTGAGCTCACGCTCCTCGCCTCCTGCGAGTAGAGCCCCCATGTACACAGCGTTCTCCTCATTATCAGAATCAGTACTACTGTATTCGCTGTAGGCATGTGCTTCATAAGATTCCCGGTAATCTTCAGAGTCGTCTGTACGCTCCTGTTCGGGCAATTCTGGTTCATTCTCCGCGGCTTCTTTCGAAGCGTCTGGGCCCTCTCCATCAGACCTATCATCTACGACGTCCATTACGTGCATCCGTGCTGAATCAGGGTAGTGATCCATCGCGATGTGCCCTTTTTCGGCGCATAGGCGGCATACTAAGTCCGGATACCGCGGATTCGGCTTTGGCTTGAGGATAGTAGCGCTCTTGGGCCATGGTCTACCTCCAGTCGCCTTGACCTCTGGCTGTCTATTTCCGCGATCTTCCGTACCTACGTTACGAGAGATTTTATTTTCGTCTTTTCTAGGTAGCTCGGGGCGCTCCTTTGGGCGAGTCGGCCCCTCGTATCGCGTGGCTCTGTAGCGGTCTCGATCTCCGCCGTGGTATTTCCCGATCTGATCTCCCGGTTCATATTTCGCCGTCGGCGTCTTGCTGCGCAGTCCTCCGCGTAAGTCTCGGATCGCCTTGAGGGACTTCCGTGCTAGCTCGTACTGTATTGCGTAGTCCCGCATTAATTCGATCCTAGTGACGCCGACTCGGACATCTTTTAGTCCCACTAAGTGATCAATGTAATCTTCAGGTAAGTTAGTAAGAAATCTCTCCGAGATATCGGTCTCCGTAGGCTGTTGTAGTAAACGGTCGGCAGCGTCCATCAATTCATCGTAGAATTGTTGTACCCCATCTTTATGCTCGAATGACACATTTAAATATTTCTTACGAGCCTTTTCTGGCGTTAATGTAACTACAAACCTATCGAATAACTTAATGATCCCTTCCTTGAAGGGAACAGGATCTGCAAGTGCCGTGGCTCTAATTATTTTGGTTTGCCACCAATACCTAGGCTTCGACGACAGGAATCCTGTCGTAAACGCGGCCCGTTCGTCCTCGTGTTCTTCTCCGGTCATTCCGGTGAGCATGAAAAAGTTTAATAATAGATCTAACCAATCAAGGAAGCGATCGGCATCGTCGTCCCCCTGCCACTCCTTAGGTTGAGCCGGCTTCTGATTCTTTATGTTCTTTGAAGGGACTCTATAGGAATCTACATATCTTTTAAACATTCTAAGGATCTTCTTATGATATAGTTCTCTCAATGTTATTGCAGAGAAATCCTCTTGCATGGGGATGTACGATCCTTCACGGTTGGCGATGTTCGGTCTCTCCGATGCGTTACGCCCGGGGGAACTCCTATTCTCACGGCTGTCGTCCTCTGATCCTGATCCGGGGTCTCCGCCTGGCGCTGCCCCGGGGTTCCTCCGAGGGTCTATTGGGGGTT